CATGTATATTACTCTGTCCTTTGCTGCTCATGCCTTTGGTGCCATATACAATAATCTATTGTGCTAGAAAACAGACCCTACAGCCATATCCCTATGTTTTCTTCTAAGAATTTTATGGTTTTCGTTTGCACCTTCAGGCACCTGCTCCATTTTGAATGTGTTTTTGTTTAGGGTGTCCCGCAAGGATCACACTGTCTCCTTCTTTGGCCTGTGGACACCCGACTTGCCATACACCATTTAATGACGAGACTCTTCTGTCCCCACTGAATAGACTTAGCACCCTTGTCAGGAATTAGTTGACCATAGATCTACAAGTTTATTCCTGGATATATAGCAAGTCCATCTGTCTATATGATCATTACTGTCCATCCTCTGTCTGTGCCCCTTGGGTCATCCTGGGCACTTCCTGAGTAAGCGTCTCAACTTTGATTACCACCAGTCTTGTTCAGAGCTTCATCCTCACTGCTGCTAGGTACGAATCTGAATTCAATCATTTCACCCAGAGATTTGGCACAACCTACAAGTGACAGCTCCAAGACTGGTGATGGTGGTGGTGATGGAAGGTGCTGCCTGCCACGTCAGTTCCAACCTATAGCAACCCTTTGAGAGCAGAACAAAGCACTGCCTGTGCCAGGTCTTACACCGTCTTCACAATTGTGGTTGCGTTTGAGGCCTTCATTGTAGCCAATGTGTTAATCCAGCTCATTGAAGGTCTGCTTCTATTTCACTGACTCTCTACTTTACCGAGCAAGATGTCCTTCTCCAGGGACTGCTCCCTCCTGAGAACATGTCCTAAGTATCATGATAAATGGAGAAAATATTGAAAAGTTGTGAAGGATTTCATTTTACGTGGATCTCGGTATCATGTGATATTCTACCATGTCCAGAGGTAGAGCTCATAACCACGTGTCTTATTTTCCTGGAGCTGCTACAACACCAACATCACAAGAGCTACCGGAAGCTTTATGTTCTCACAGTTCTGGAGTCTCAGTGTCCACATCAGGGTCTTGACTGGGCCAATTCCTACCTTATCTATAGTCCTAGCCCTCCTTGGCTGGTAGACAATCTTCACATGACATCCGCCTTCTCCCAGTTGTGTGTCTCTGTCTACTCAGGTCTTCTTAGACTACAGAATTGATTAGGGTTCGGACCCACGCAACACTGGCATGTCCTCATTAACATAACAAAAGATGGCCCTATTGTCAGGATCCCATCTTAGGGTACAAGGAATTCATTGCATGTTTGGGTCTATAACCCCACCCTTTGTATAAAGTTATGGTTTAATCAGTCCCTTCAAGAGACCAAACTAAGCTGAAGTTGCTTAGCGCGCATAGAGGTAGACCAAACAATGTTGTGGTCAATAAAGAAATTTCATCAGGCTGGAATCACTGTTTGAACCACCCTCTTCCTCTATGGGGATATTCCTCTCTGAATAACCAATACTGGACCTCAATCACCAACAAACATGTGCCACTTAGCATCCATGCTGCATTCTGTGAAACAGAATGCTGTGTGATGGGGACATTGTGTGAATACCATATTGAAGCCCTGGGGGAGTCCGTTTCCAGTTGTCCTTAAAGCCACCACTGTTATTGTTGTTAAGTGCCATCGAGTCGGTTCCGACCCATAGCGACCCTGGATAGGGTTTCCAAGGAGCGGCTAGTGAGCTTGAACCACCAACCTTGCAGTTCAAATGGCTTTGCAGTCTGGCACATTAACCCACAGCACCACACCAGGACTCCAGAGCCGCCATTACTCCTGCTGAAAGGGTGGGGTGGATGTCAGCAGGGAGGGGGCTGAGGGCACCCAATCTGCCTACCCATCCCACAAAATCCTAGAGCCTTAGCCCAGAGCCATGCCCTCTGCCTTACCTGCCTATATCCCACCTGTGGTCAGGTGAGGCAAGAGTCTAAATGGGTTTCAGATCTTTAAAGCCACTAGGTGAAAATAATAAACAAAAAGAGAACTGTTCTCTCTTTCAAAAAAACCCTCTGGAACCATAGACAGACTGTATGCATTGACCATTCCCAAACAGATACGAAGTTAGGCATGTCAGCTCAGCCTTCCTTCTAGAGCCATCTCAGACAGCAGACAACGTTCCTTCTGTCAACACATCACTCCCTCAGAAATGTAGCATGAACTTGACTGAACTGAAATCCTCAGATCTTAATTACATTCATGTCCTAGGGCAGGGTCCACGGAGACAGAATTGCCCTGCTTCAGGTGACATGTGGCTGGGACTTACACCCTCCCTGGTGCTGTGTCTGATCAAGGACTCTCACCAACTAAAACCCAGTTACCATTGAGTGGACTCGACTCATGGCATCCCATATGTGTCAGAGTAGAACTGAGCTCCATGAGGTTTTCAACGGCTGGTATTTTGGAAGTTGCCTTCCTTCTGCCTCCTATGGAATCAACCCTCTCCACTTTCCTAAGCAGACTGTGTTGATGGTTTGACTACAGAGACATGAAACATTAGGGTCACGTAAAGAAGGAACTGGGGCTTTGCCCAGGCTGTACAACCCCCATCACTGCTGAGGACTTAATTCCAGTCCTGTTTACATCCCTGGACTAAAACCCAAACCAAACCTGTGGCCATCAAGTTGACGCCGACCCCTGCTGACCCCATTTGTGTCAGAGTGGAGTGTGCTCCACAGGATTTTCAGAAGGTGGTTTTTCAGAAGTAAATCGGCAGGTTGACTTGAACTTCCAACTTTTCCGTGGGCCATCTAGCACGTTAACCATCTACACCAGTTCTGTTAGAACAGCTAGCCCTGAGCTCCAAGGACTCAGCCTCATTCCTTCCCAGTTTGGGGGCTCTGTTAGAGGGCTGCAACTATACTTTAATTCAGGTCCTCGCAAGGAAGCCCTTCACTTTGGCAAGCTGGTGGGGTGGGCCCACCTCCCCTCACTACAGATTCAGCTCTTTACGGTCTTGTCACTTCCAAGAGAACAACATTAATGATGGCCAGCGCCTTCCCTTTGCGGAACTCCTTCAACCCTATGTCACACAGCAGTCTTTCCAACAGGAAACTAGCATATTTTCTTCTACCAGAAGCTATGATTTTACAATTTTAAAGACGACAATCACTTAAAGCTGGACTAAGACTTTTGAGACACATCAAGAGCAGTAGTCCTGTCTCCGGAGTTCTCACCTTATAAGACTTCTACATCTTATACATCTCAATGGTTTACCAGCTATAGATGAGCTTATCCTCCTGTCACCCTACCAGATGTTTCCAAAAGCAAGAGCCAGACACAGTCATCAAATAAAAGCGTCTCTTAGTACCCATGGAGTCCTGGTATGACGCTGGAGGGCCAGCAGTGGACTACTAACTGCAAAGTCAGCAGTTCAAACCCATCGATTGCTCCTTGGAAAGCCTATACAGGTCACCATGGAGTCAGTTCTGACTCATAGCCTGTAGGTTGCCAAGGAGTGGCTGCTGGGTTTGAACCCCTAACCTTTCAGTTAGCAGTCCAGTGCTTATCCTACAGTGTCATATTTAATTTAAAACTGTGGCTCAAATGCAGCAATACTCACAAGAAATTATGTTGTTTAAGAATAGTCATTGGACTTAATATTGCATATGTGCCTGTTTGGTGTAAAAGAGACAAAAATCCAGCTTGGGTAAGAATTGAAATGAATTCAGTGACCTTAGTCCATGCAATGGGTTCTGGGAGGGAAGATGATATAGTAGCAAAAATCAATGCAAGTTTTAGATTTCACATTAAACCTAGAGGTGCTGGTGGCTTTTGAAAGCTTGCCCATGCCCACACCTTTGGGGGCACTACTCCACTATTAAATGCCCCCAGAAATGCGCACTTCAGAAAGAACTTCTGCCTTCAACGTGTGACTGGAGTTCAAGGGCTGGTGGGGGAGACTCATCAGGGTGGGCTTTTAACTTAGCCTGTGAATGTCTTTTCTCCAGGGTCTGGACAACTCTGTCTTAGAGTGAGATGGATGTGTATGCACGTGTGTGAGTGTGTGCACAATTGTGTGTGAGAGTGTGTAGGAGTGTGTGTGATGAAGTGACTGTACTGTGAGAATGCGTGTGCAGGTGCATGAGTGTGTGTGTGTTTGATGGAATGTGTGTATGTGTGTGTGTGTGTGTGAGGGTATGTGTGTAAGAGTTGTGTGCGTGAGTGTATATGTATATGCATGCTTGAGTGTGTGTGAGTGTGTGTTTGAGGGTGTGTGTGTGTGTTTGAGGGTATGTGTGTGTGTGTTTGAGGGGGGTGTATGTAAGAGTTGCATGCATGAGTGTATATGCATGAGCATGTGTGTGAGTGTATGTTTGAGGAAGTGTGTGTACGTGTGATTGTGTGTGTGCACACGTGCTCACATATGTATTTGAGGGAGTGTATGTACATGTGATTGTGTGCGCACATGCTCACATGTGTGTTTGAGGGAGTATGTGTACATGTGATTTTGTGTGTGTACATGTGCTCACATGTGTTTGGAAAGGAGCATAGTAGAAGCCAAATGCAAACCCTGGAAGGACCCAGCCACCCTCCTCACCCCCAGAGCAGCACCAGAGGTTGGGGTACAGTCCCAGGACTAGCGCTCCCACAACAGGGCAGCAGCTTCTCAGTTCCTTGGGCTGTGTTCTAGATGGCCTTCCTGATGCAGCTGGACCAGACATCTGGGTGCAAACATTGTTGGAACCAATCAGAACACCCAAACTCGATTCTTACTTCAACTGGGTCCTCACGGTTCTCTCCCTCGTTCCAGGCAGCCCCAGCCATCCACAGACAGTGGGGGTCTTCTCCCTCGTCTCCTCACACAGGGTCACTGCCTGAAGGGCCGCTGCCTGCTCCCAGCAAGGCCCTGGCGCCCATCTGTAATCACGCGAGTTCTGTGAGGTTCGGGGCACTGTTGTTCGGCAGGACAAGAGGAAACAGGGCTTATACCAGGAAAGAGTTATCGAAACCCCAGAAATGGACATTTTGACCTCGCAGCCAGGACCTAAGTGTGCTTCCCTTGTTGTGTCTCCCCCCAGGGAACTACTGGAATGCTGCCTCCTTCCCGGATCCCTCTTCCCACCTCCACTTCTCCACCTTCCAAGGGGAAACCAGCGCTGACATTTCCTTCTACTTCAAAACACTGATCCCGCGTGGGGTGTTCCTGGAAAACCTGGGGAACACAGACTTCATCAAACTGGAGCTCAAGTGTGAGTATGAGCTGGGGTCCTCTCCCAGGCAGCCCCCTTGTCACTCAACATCCCAAAGTGCTGAGAGGTATGGGTCCTGGCACTGAGACACCCATGAGGAGAGAGACAGGATGCAAGCTCTGGCCTCAGGAAGGCGGATAGACCACATAGGCCACACGCCCTGGTCGTGGTGGGGCTGGAAGTTGTTGACGATGATTTTGAGTTAATTCCAACTCATAGCGACCCTTTATCGGGTTTCCAAGCCCATAAATCTTGACGGGAGCAGAAAGCCTCATCTTTCTCCTGAGTGGTGGTTGGTGGGCTGCAACCTCTGACCTTGTGGTTCAACTTCAGTGTTTACCTGACAGAGCCACTAAACATTTCCCTTTTTGTGAGGCTGTTTTCCTAGGAGAGTTAGGAGAGTGCAGATGTATCTGAAAGAGCCCTGAGAGTGCAGTGGGCTGCTAACTGTAAGGTCAGTGGTTCGAAGCCACCAGCCATTCCTCAGGGGAACAATGTGGCAGTCTGCCTTCGTAAAGACCTGCAGCCTGGAAACCCTTATGGGGCACTCGTCCTCTGTCCTGCACCGTTACTGTAAGTCGGGATCCACTCAGCAGCCATGGGGTATCTCAGGGTTGGGGACAAGGGCAGAAAGAAGTGCACAAAGGAAATGGGAGTCCTTGAGTTAGCGTCTGTGTTGGCTAACCAGACGGCATGATGGTGTCACTGAGTCTGTAGGTCTCAGAAGAGCCCCCCTCTGCCCCTACCGTTTAAAAGCTGAAGGTCTGACAGACTCCACCAGTCCAGGCAGGTGGCTCTCAGCTCAGCTGGCCTTGGCTCCTGAGGACCTGACCGAGGTCCACAGCCTCGGGGTCACCATCCATAGGTGGAGGGAATCCTGAAGCTGACACACAGTCCCTGCCACAGCAGCGCCCATTTAACCTCGCTCCTGAGTTGGTTTCAGGAACTAGAACCTGTAAAGGCCAGGCACTCCCAGCAGGAGACAAAGCCAGACCAGCCTCCTGGGGACACAGGGGGCCCACCAGACCCTGACTCCTGCTCACCCAGTGTAGGGCTCCTCGGCTTGTCCCTTCCTTCTGTGTCCCACAGCGCCTGGTGCATCCTCACCTCCATCTGTAGTTCTAATCATGTGATGTCATTTGCCTGTTGCCGTGGCGTCGATTCCAACTCATGGTGCCCCCACGTGGGCAGGTAGAAGGGGCTCCGTAGGGTTTCAACGCTGCACTTTCAGACATGCATCATCAGGTCTTTCTCCTAAAGCACCTTTGGGTGGGCTGGAACCTCCGACTACTCTGTTACCAGCCAAGCATGCTCACTGTTTGAGTCACCCGGGGGGCTCCTACAAGGTGATAGCTGAGGTTTTGTGTCAACTGGGCTGGGCCTGGAGTCTCGGTTAAGCTGTAGTCACCCCTCAGGACACGATCTCATCTAGTGCAATGCCCTGTAATCTGATGTCCGCATCCTCCGTGTTGTGCATCCTCACTCCTGTGATAGCAACACACACGGAAGGAAATCCAACAACGTATTGATTGCATTGGGCAGATCTGCTGCACAAGGCCTCGTTAAAGTGATGAAGAGCAAAGATCTCAGCTTGAGGACTAAGGTGCACCTGACCCAAGCCAGGGTATTTTCAAGAACCTCATATGCATGTGAAAGCTGGACAGTGAATAAGGAAGACCGTAGAAGAATTGATGCATTCAAGTTAAGCTGTAGGAGGAGAATATTGAAAGTGCTATAGGCTGCCAAAAGAACCAATAAATCTGTTTTGGAAGAAGTGCAGCCAGAGTGCTCCTTGGAGGCCAGGAAGGCCAAACTTCATCTCTCATACTTCGGACATATTGTCAGGAGGGAACAGTCTCTGGAGAAGGATATCATGTTTGGTAAGGTGGAGGGTCAGAGAAAAAGAGGAAGACCCCCAGAGAGATAGATTGGCACAGTAGAAGAAACAATGGACTCAAACACAGTAAGGATTGTGAGGTTGGCCCAGGACCAGGCAGTGTTTTGTTGTGTTGTACATAGGGTCGTTAAGAGTCGGTACTGACTCAATGACACCCAACAACAACATGATGGTAATGAGACCAGATGCAATCTGCATCTTTTGGACTATTAAAGAGATCAAGCAAGCAAGCAGAATTCAGAAGGACCCAGAGCCACCAAGTGAAAAGAGCCCGGAGTGGAGAGTGTCCTTTGGAACTGGGTCCTGCAGTGTGAAGCTCCTCCATCCAGGGCAAGTCTGAACATCTCCACAGGGAAATCTCTGAGGAATGTTGGACCTACAAGTGCTGAAAGGGAACAAGGACCCCTCTCCAGAGCCCACAAAGAGAGGAAGCCAGCCCCTAGAGCCGACATCTCTATCTGGACTTCTAGCCTCCTAAATGGTGAGGGAAGAAATGTCTGTTGTTATAGACACCCACTTGTGGTGTTTTGTTATAGCCACATGAAAGGACTAAAACATACAGCTTCTCCATCAGGAGTCAACGAAACACAGTGGAGGAAAGACAGACTTCCGTATTTGAGAACAGCTTCTTCAAGGTGAACAAGAAAACCCCAGAGAGCAGGGGATGAGGATCCAGCTGTCTCGTGTGCCCTGTGGCCATCTCCGGGTGGGTGCTCCCTCACTGGGGCTGCTCCCCAGGTACCCCACCCCACACTGATGGCCACTCACAGCAGCAGTGACCAGGGGCCAGGAGAGCTGGTTTGGCAAGCCCAGTCTTTACTCTGTATCTACTTTCTTCTCCCCCTCCCCTTCTGATAGGAATTCGAATTGGGTCTATCTGTGCATCGACTCAAAGGAACTGTGCCGCTATTCGTGCCTGCATTCTGGTTTCCAAGATCACATTTGTTAATTAATGATGTTGTGCCCTGCTGTCGGGACTGGAAGGTTCTTGGCTTTATAACTGACAGCCAGTCTCAGAGAGCTAATGGGATCCCAGCAGCATTCCCACGGGCAGGCAGAAAAGCATTCCATTAGCATAATGTGAAGGTAAACATTTCAACTCCGTGTTGTTGTTGTTCATTGCCATCAAGTCAACTCTGACTCAACATAGAAGGAAGCTCTGCCCTCCACTCATTTCCTTCTGTTTCCTCACTCACTCAGTGCATATTCCCTGACTACCTGCTTTGTTACAGGGCTGTGCAAAGTGAAGAGAAAAGGCTATAAAACCAAGCATCATTTTTATCCCTCCAAGATCTTGTGTTTGTTTTGGAAAACCAGCAAGTAAATCAGTCTGTATAATAATACTAAAAATGTCTCATCTTGACACAGATCTACTGTGTCTCAGCTGTTGCTCCAGGCACTGTACATAAAGTATCTCACTCGCTCTAACTACTCACTAAAAAGGATTGTTGTCATTGTTGTTAGGTGTTGTCAAGTTAGTTCCAACTCATAATAACACTGTGCACAACATAAAAAGACATGGCCCTGTCCTGTACCATGCTCACAATTCTTTTCACACTTCAGCCCATTGTTACTGCCACTGTGTCACTCCATCCCATTGGGAGCCTTGCTCGTTTTCACTGATCTCTATGTTAGTAAGCATGATGTCCTTCTCCAGGGACTGGTTCCTTCTGATAACATGTACGAAGTATGAGAGACAAAGTCTCACCACCCAAGCTTCTAAGGAGCATTCTGGCTGCACTTTTTTCCAACACAAATTTGTTTGTCTTTCTAGCAGTCCACTTTTAAGATTCTTCTCCAACACCATAATTCAAATATATTGATTCTTCTGCAGTCTTCCTCATCATTCTAGTTTCACATTTATATGAAAATACCATGGAATGGGTCGGGCACACTTCAGTCCTCAAACTGACAGCTTTGCTCTTTAATACTTTAAAGAGGTCCTTGTACCGCAGATTTGTTGGTTGCAATATGTCACTTGATTTCTTGACTGCTGCTTCCATGAGTGTTGATGGTGGATCCAAGCAAAATGAAGTCTTTGACAACTTCAATCATTTCTCCACTTATCATGATGTTATTTATTGGTCCAGTTGTGAGGTTTTTGTTTTCTTTGCATGGAGATGTAATCCGTAATGAAGGCTGTAGTCTTTGATCTTTTCAGTAAGTGTTTTAAATATTCTTTGCTTTCAGCAAGCAAGGTTGTGTCATCTGCATATTGCAGGTTGCTAATGAATCTTCTTCCAACCCTGATACTACATTCTTCTTCATATAATCCAGCTTCTTGGATAATTTGCTCAGCATATAGATTGAATAAGTATGGTGAAAGGATACAATCCTGGTGCACATCCTTCTTAATTTAACACGTTTCAGTATCCTCTTATTCTGCTCAAACAACTGCCTCTTGGTCTGGTACAGACCAATGATGAATTCTGGAATACCCATTCTTCTCAACTTTATCCACAGTTTACCATGATCCTACACAGTCAAAAGTCTTTTCAGAGTCAATAAAACACAAGTAAACATCTTTCTGATGAGCTCTGATTTCAAGCAAGTTACATCTGGTGCCAGCAATGATATCTCTTGTTCCATCCTTTTCTGACTCTGCTTGAATTTCAGGCAGTTCTCTGTCGATGTACTGTTGTAACCCGTTTTTAATTATCCTCAACAAAATTTTACTTGCATGTTAGATCAATGATATTGTTAGATGATTTCTGCATTCCATTGGGTCACCTCTCTTTGTAATGGAACACGAAATAGGGTTCTCTTAAAATCTGTTCGCTTTCCAAATTTCTTGGCATAGATGAGTGAGTGCCTCCAATGCTGCATCAGTTTGTTGAAAGATTTCAATTTGTATTCCTTCAGTTCCTGGACCATTGTTCCTTGCCAGTGCCTTCAGTGCACCTTGGATTTTTTACATCAGTACCTCCCATTGGCTCTTGATCATATGTTGTTGTTGTGTTGTTAAGTGCCATCGAGCCGGTTCCGACCCATAGCGACCTTATCACAGCAGAGCGAAACACTACCCAGTCCTGGGCCAACCTCACTATCATTGCCATGATTGAGCCCATTGATGCTGCCACTTGGCCAATCTATCTCACTGGGA